TACAAATTACTGAAGAAGCAAATATAGTATATTTGCTGGCTCATATAAATTTTGTAAATTTCAGGTGTTTTGTGTCTTAAGAGTAGAAGGTATTTTGAGAGGCTTGACAGGTCTACTTCTGAAACATTTTAAACCATTCTTATATCACTAACAATACTTGCAATACAAATACAATACTTCCCAAACTTTGTTGTAATCAAGTTTGTTATTCTTTGTCACAGCACCACCTGAATGTGAGTATCCCTTGGTATGGCATGAATGTCATAGCACCTGTGAATGGACATGCTCTGAACAAGGCTTACCGATATCTGACTGTGAAACTGGATGTGCACCTGGGTGTGTATGCCCATCCGGAAAGGTCAAGAAAGGCGATACTTGCATTGAAATCAATGACTGCCAAGAATGTAAGTGATTAACTTAGTTTAATTTGTAATTAAGTTAGACATAATTAGTACCCAATAATTTAGCAATTAATAAAGAGTTGGATTTCACACTACTTATGCAGGGAATTAGCACTATATGTTGTTATATGCAAATCCTCCTTGCAAGAAGGAATCAAAATATTAATGTGTGACTTGAGTATTACTTGATATATTTAGCCCAAGCTGCTGTGGCAGTATAAACTGATGCCCGGTAAGTCTGCTTCTTTGCCATAAATCTTTTGGCTTTCGTACAATCCCAATTCATCTTCATCAAATTACACAAAGATGAAATATCAATGCCATTAGTAAATAGTAAAATACAATAAATTAGTATTTTTGTTCAGAATGACTTCAACTCCACAGGGTATAACTTTATTGTTATCTGTTTGATTTGTTTCATTTTGTTTTTCTGATTTTCTGTTGCTAGGTTACTGTGAAGGATTTGGTGACCCTCACTACTACAGCTTTGATGGCACATATTTCCCCTTCCAAGGTAACTGTACATACGTAGCAGCAAGAGACACATCACAGAACAAGGATTTTGAAGTGCTTGTTACTAACGAGGAATGTATCTCGGCTCCCCCAACCACATGCACTGTGTCTGTAACTGTGCTTTACCAAGGTAACAAGGTGGTGCTGGAACGTGGAAGAAAAGTAAGTATGTTATTACATTTGTTACAGATTGATATACAACGTTAGTGATTGCTGATGAAAGTTGACTTGCAGAACTGTAAATAATTTCATTGCCTGTTGATGTGGGTAATATCAATACTGTACTTCTCTGGTCATAATCCCAGGGGTCTCAACATGTAAAATCAGGGAAAGAAAGTGTGTGAACCATAATGCATTGTTTGCCGTACACTGTGAAGTCTGTGAGTTTTCTCATGAAAACACAAACCAAATGTTTTTTTTATGGCCACCAGATATATATAAAAATAAGGGCTTTGCTTATACACAGAGAGATTTATGACAAGTGAAGTACAGTAATGATGTCAGGAGGCATGGAAAACTTTCTGTTGTTTAGAATTTAGGCATGCCACTGAATCATGTGTGTTTGTTTGTTTGTTGTTTGAACATGTCACACATTTTGGCCAAATGACAGCCATTTTGTCTTGTAATACATCTCCTGCTGAAAGCCTCTATAAATAGCTGAAATTGGGCTTGTTGTTGACGTGTTAAATACAATCTTTAATTCTGCATCAACTGACGTAATTCCAATCATCCATAAAATAACATTGCATTGTGCTTCTGTAGATGACATGCTATTTTAATAAAAATGAAAATAAAGCTCATCGAATTAATTTCATAATGTATTGTGCAAAAAATATTAACTTATTTTGTATTATCTGTTTTTGTAGGTAAATGTGAATGGTGTGGAATATCAGTTACCACATAGAATTGTCTTGGATGGAATAAAGATCAAACTTTTACCATATAATAATATTATTGAATTACGCGTTCCAGAAATTAACATGGTGGTAACATTTGATCAACTTTCTGATTGTTTCACTATAAGTGTACCAAGTACTCAGTATTATGATAGAACTGAAGGATTGTGTGGTAAGTTTCAATTTTCAACTAAAACTGAAAACAAAAATGTTTATATGAATGAGAACCTAATAAAGTGTACTCTTGCTTCGCACTGCAATGTGATACTGAGAAAGCCAGGAAATTCAGCCTGTTAAATTGAAAAAATATTTCTTGTTTGATGTTTTATAGGCCCATGTAACCACAACCTAGATGATGATTTTACAAAAAAAGATGGTCAAATAACCGATGATACTGACGAATTTGCATTCAGCTGGTTGGTTGAGAAAGATGACGAAGTATGTATCAGCGCTCACCCACCATGTGCCGATCCTCTCACATTGAATGAAGACCTTGCTGGTGACTGCACTCGAGCGATATATGAAGGAATATTTCGCGAGTGTAATTTGCTGGTAGATCCTCATCCATACTTAAGAGCCTGTATACTTGATACTGCTTGCAACAACGGCATGTGTGCGGTCTTATCATCTTATGCACGAGAGTGTGCTCGCCAAGGACACTGTGTAGCATGGAGAGATACATATTCATGTCGTAAGTTATCAACACAAGTTTTTATTTCTGTGCATGCCTGGCGATGTATGAATAACTTCAAGACTTTCATACACTTAGTTTCCCTTGATGTATACCAAAATAAATCCATCTCATCATGATGTGTCTCAATGTAAAATGTAGATAACCCAAAAATTTATCATTGTAACTAAATATTTATTTCGAATGACAATACTCTCAATCAGCATATACATATTACCGGTAATATATTTATAATGAATTCCAAAATATTGAAAGTATGAGATATATATTGTTAAAATAATCGATTCAGTAATTCAGTGCTGTTATCAATATACCTTCCAGTAATATGTGCCCTCTAGCAGTGTTTTAGTGGCAGCCAAATAGATGTAAGACGTGTCTTTCAAATAGTCAATTATGTTTTGTGTAGTCGTCTAGAATATAAGAAATCTCTACAAAGAAGTATAAGTTATTGACAAATACAGATAGAAACATCAACTTTGTGATTGGCTTCCCTTTACACCCATTCACAAGACTGAAGTGTTTTGTCATTAGAAGATATAGCTTATGTGAATGGTACATACCAGTAGTGTTGTGTCAACGCATTAATTTATGTACATGTCACTTTGTAACAATGCATGTTTGTTTTTCTAGCATTTGACTGTCCCGAAGACAAACAATTTGAAGCCTGTCATAGTGGATGTGTTGAGACCTGTGAAAATCGTGACAGTTACGATGCGACATGTGATCGTATACCGCAGATGGAAGGTTGTTTCTGCACAACTGGAATGATGCAGAATGATACCGGCATTTGTGTTCCATCATGTGGTAAGTCAATTTATCTTTCTTGCATTTTTCTGAATCCATGTAATATTGAACCATAATAACTTTGAGGTATTAAATGAAAATACATACTAGGTATAATGTTATTAGTATGCTAATTCTTATCACCTAGACAGCAGCTGGATATGCATATGTCACCTAGACATTCCCTACTGTACTACATTAATTCACTCAGATTTGTATCACAAATGCCTCTTGTGAATCACTTTCAACTAATTCTGTGTTGCTTGCTTGTTGAGAGGTAGGTATAGTTTCACTATACATCGCATGTCAGTGTACTTGAGTGTCACGATACTGTCATTGATTGCTAGAATTATCTAGTGACACACATTTTTATTGATTTTAATTTTGTTTTTTTCAGATCGTTGTCTTGGCAGTGATGGAATTTACCATGAGGTAAGATGTTATTATTATATGCAGTAAATATGGAAATTTTGTAAATACTTATATTTAGCTGGAATTAATTTTCGCTGAAAAGATTTCATGGGTGTTTTGTATGGAACTTATTTTCACTGATTTTAGACGAGTTGAATGTAAAATATACGAAAAAAGGTATATTCGCTGGATTTTATTTTCACTGAATCATTCCTTCAGTGCAAGTAGCGAAAATTAATTCCAAGTATTTTACACTACATCTTTTTTGAAAATCTGGTTCACTTTCATGTCCTTACTGTGATGATTTCAACATAATCAATTTTCTTTATACTCCTTTTTAGGTTGGTGATACTTGGCAAGATGGCCCTTGTGAGAAAATGTCATGTCTTGTAGGTGGTCACGTTGACACTGTTATCACAGAGTGTGCACCACCTCCCCAGTGTCAGTATCCCAAGGTTCTTATCACTCACACTGAAGATGGTACCTGCTGCCCAATCTATGAATGTGGTAAGTTTGAAATCTTTAGATTTTCACGAATTTTGTAATTCTAAATTTGATCTACGTTGAGGTCAATGAGGTAAAATGAATATTTGTTATACAATGCCAAAACCTTGTGGTTTTACAAGAATATCAAACTTTTAATGAAAAATGGGGTGAGGTGGTTATTGTTATATATCTTGTGGTTTTACAAGAATATCAAAGTTCTGATGGAAAATGGGGTGAGGTGGTTATTGTTATTTATCTTGTGGTTTTACAAGAATATCAAAGTTCTGATGAAAAATGGGGTGAGGTGGTTATTGTTATTTATCTTGTGGTTTTACAAGAATATCAAAGTTCTGATGGAAAATTGGATGAGGTGGTTATTGTTATTTATCTTGTGGTTTTACAAGAATATCAAAGTTCTGATGGAAAATGGGGTGAGGTGGTTATTGTTATCTATCTTGTGGTTTTATTTCAGCTTGCAATACAAGTGTGTGTCCAGCTACTCATGTGCAACCACCTTTAGTATGTGCTGAGGACAGGGAGATGACTAATTTCACCATCAATGAGTGCTGTTATACAACTGAATGCAGTGAGTATTGCTTGTTTTCATGCCTTTAAATCATAGCTGGGAAAAATTCCAAATTTGCAGTAAATGCATTACAAAAACTGAAGTCTTTGCAGCCATCTATTGTTTGAAATCATGGATGCAAGATAAATAGAGTGTATGTGAGTGGTGTGGTAAGTGATGCAGTCATGCAAATTACAAAATGATCACAAAATTACATGGCAGACTCACCTTTCTTGAATTATCAGCTTGAAAAAAATGATTAGTGTTCCTCTTTTTCTTAGAATTCTTATTCACCAAAAAAATAATTTGATGTGTTTTGTCTTTCTGAATAATCTTGTTTATTTTTGTGTATGTAATCAATCCTTTCCAAGCATCCAATGAATTTTGTGATGTCATTGGTCTGAATATGTTTGATTGATATACACACAAAACTCACATGGAATGCAATTATTCATTTTAAATCACCATACATGGCTATGTTACCTTTAAATTATTGGTGAAATACAAGTTTTAAAAAAAGTATGATGGATTTGTTTGTAACATGACTGTGCTGTTTTTTTCTTAGCTTGCAAGGCGTGTCCAACAGAAACTATACCAGTATGCTATCCATTTGAGACTCTGGAAACATTTAAAGAAAGCATATCTGATTGCTGTGATCAATACAGATGTGGTAAGTTATGGTAGATCTATTCCTATTGGCCGATAGATCATAAAGAGTAATATGAATATGGTTGTTAGCCAATCAGATTTTATGTAGGTTTTTACTTCAAATCCTGGACTAAATGATCAATCATCATTTGAGTAGATGTCTGATACATTGCAAGCTTAGTTTAAACACAGAAGATAAGTTTTGTTGCTTTACCAAAATATTTGAAATATATTTTCAACAGTTTTGATCAAAAACTGCAGCCAATGGTGGAAAAATGATGGCATTTGTATTTATGAGAAGCGATACTAGATGCAAGGGTGTTTTGCACCATTTTAGAACTAGGAATGTGAAATATGTTTTTAATTATTTGCCATGTTGTTATTTCAGATTGTAACATTGCAAATTGTCCACCAGATGACATGGTGTGCCCACCTAATTTTATAAAACAACAGACACCTGAAAGCCTGCATGCTTGCTGTCCAGAGTACCAGTGTGGTATGTATGCATTACTCTCATATTATATATCTTCTGATAGCTCTATTTTTAGTCTTGCACTCTAAGATATTACTCATGATACATCAACTACAACAACGATTGACCACTTTTAAAACAGAAATATGCCCATCAATTTCAGTTCAGATTGTATGAAATACACCATAAAACAGTCTTATATCAAGCTTATTATTGCAATCAACTGAAGTATGAAACATTTATTATAACTCATATCTTGTTTTTACTTCTCAGTGTGTGACTGTCCTGCTGTGGATCCAACTCAGTGTCCGATTGTAAGTGAAAACATTTTTTGCAATTCTGTTCATTTCCTTGATTTTTTGTTCAAATGGATTAATATGCAAGACTTAAAAATCTATAATTTACATAATTCTTGTATTTGTCATATTTCTAGGGTTATAAGCTGAAAATTACTGAATCTGAAGATGAGTGCCAATGTGTTGTGCATGAATGTGGTAAGTTTAATTAGTTCATGACTAATAATGTCTTGAGTGAACTCTAAAATTAACACTCCAATCAAATTCTAAGGAGCGGATCATGTGATTTCCTGTCAACCAATTGACCGCATGGTGTATCCATGTTGTTCATAACATCATCATTCAATCAATTTAGTTTAAGTTTAATAGGTGCAAAAAACCTATTTCGTAACAATTTTTTGTTAAACACGTCTCTATGTATTTAATTTTACCTTCTGTATTAATAATTTTGACTTTTATTGTTATTCAAAGTTCCCAAGGAAGTATGTCTGTGGAACAACACTGCTACAAACCAACTACAGGAAGTACAGGCAAGTTCATTTTTATTCAGATATGCTTAGTAAAGTTGTAAAGTTCAATTTTACATGTGTCTTGTTTAACTACAATAGCTACATACTATGCTACTATACAAAAATAGTTTGAACTTTTAAAATAACAGAAAATATTTATTTTTCAACAGCCTGGTACCACCAACTTACAAGGAAGTAATCCTTGCAAAGTGTGTAGTTGTACAGAAGAGAAAGTTGCAGGCAATGAATTCTATAGCATAGAATGTGATGTAACCACATGTCTGGTAAATGGACCTGATGGCTGCGAAGCTCACTCTGAGTACATTCCACCTGACAACACTGACTGCTGTGGTAGATGTGAAAGACGATGGTGTGTTGACCAAATGGGACGACATAATATTGGTGACACTTGGACACAGCAAGATGCCATGACGATGTGTGATTATGCAGAATGTAGACCGGACAGCGATGGTGTACCTAGAGTGTATCCCTACTATACACTATGTCCTGCCATTGAGCCAGCAGACTGTCCTGAATCAGTAAGTGTCAAATTGTTGCGTCTTGCTAAATGTTTCTTTGGTGTAAAAACACTCAATCAGTCATAGCTTGGGAAGAAAAAGTTGTGGATGTTTGTACTTCAGTCGCACACAAACTTGTTTGTATGTTGAGCATTGATCTCAAGTTCTGCATATGGTATCGATGAAAACGCAACATTTTATTATTGAATACACAATATTATGAAATACAAAAATGCTTTATTCTGTATTGTGTATTAAATCGTTTTTTGTTTGTTTAATGTCTGCAGAAATATACATTGACGAATACAAGTGATGGCTGTTGCCAACAGTGTGGTAAGTGATTTACAAGCTTTCACTTGTATTTTTATGAATTTTGCATGTGACTTTAAAAGGGCACTTCCAGTTAAGCCTAATCTCACAACAAATTTACTTTCTGGATTAATATGACAATGGATAACAAAAGATAGATTAACTTTGTAAAAAAACAAAACAATAGTGTCTCATGATTCTTTGGTGCAATTCCTGGGCTTGGAAGTTTCCCCTTTAAGGTAGAGATGCAGATTCGTGGGCACTTGGGAATGAAATTTTTTTTTTTTTGCTTTTTATTATCCAAACAGTCTTGGCTATCTACTGTTAAAAAATTGTAGAATTGTGAATAGTGGAACATACTCAAAAAACGATTTGAAAATATAGATAACAGGTGCAAACATTCTCTCTTTTGAATGCTTAGCAAGATTTAGCAAGGCTGTACATAAATAATAAAACAGAAACATGGTGAAAAAAATAAGAAATGACGGGATCTCCATATTATACACTATGTTTAACTTTTAACAAAACGATAATACATTTATATTTGAAACTGTTACAGCCATTTTAATTATGAGCATTAGCAAACTTCTCATTGAGTGAATTGTTATGCAAATTAGCAATTGTCTCAGCTTCTTTTTAGTGCACATCCCAGAACTTTAAAAAAAAATAGCTTCTAGACGCTTTGACCTTTTGTTTTGAAATTTTCACAAATGATTGACAATGTGTTTATCTTCAAAACGCCGTCGGGGCATTGTTTTTGGTTGAACAGTGTTACAACAATCGTACAGACAACTAGCCTGGTTGTTAATTTATGCATAAACTTGAAGTAGTAAAATTTGAGCTGCTGCCCTGCAAAATTGACAACTGGTAGACAGTTTTCAAGACGACACTTTCGTCATAGTAAACAGATGTACCCATAAACACAATTTTGGACAGGGAACAGAAGCATGGCTTAGAAGCTAATTTTGTTTAAATCGCTTTTGACCAAAAAAGCACATTTTTGTGCATATTTCAAACTACAGTGTCCATAAAAAAAATAATACTAACAAAATTTTAAAATTCATACAATAAGCTTTCTGAAAATATATAGTTTTGTGGACAAGGGAGGTCATCTTGGTTTCCTAATTAACTAATTAAAATACCTGTCAGGTAAACCGCATCTCTACCTTAAGTTGCACTTTAAGATCATTCATACGGCTTTATTGGAATCTTGGGAAAAATACCGGGGTATATGAAATATTCAAGGGTATGAGTAATTAGAAATTCAGAACAGAGGTGAATATTTACACATCTACCTGTATATGTGTTGCAACAACTTAATTGATAAGCAAAATGTTCACATATGTAGAGGTAGTTATTAATCATAGTCATTGGTAATTACTCTATGTATCCAAACATTTCATGTCATTCCTCATGTACATACCTAATGCACACATGTGTTCTATGTTCTACAAATATTTCACTGTGTAATCAAGTACTACTAGAGGTACTAATGAAAACCCATTGCCCAAATCATCTGGTTAAATTGAATAATAAATTTAAGACTGTGAATAAATTAAAGACTTTCTTTGTATTGTTATATTTACTGGTTGTAACATTGTAATAGTTATTACAGATTTTAACTGTATGTATCATCCAGCAGGTACTCTATATATCATTTTGTAAATTCATTTAGATGAATAATTTGCTGAATTGAGAATTAAAAAAAACAACTTTGAAATGCTATGACCAAATTAAATCATTGAATTCAACTTGACTTTCTGAAACTTTTTTTTTATCCAGTACCTAAGAGTGGTGCATGTCGTATAACTAAGAATGAAGTGACGGTTGAATTAAATGGATGTGTTAGCAACTCTACAGTTGAAATGCCATACTGCGATGGCAAGTGTCGCAGCACTGCTATGTTCTCTGTTGAAGATGGAAAGATGAACACCGACTGTCAATGTTGTCAAGTTCTAGATGCCGTTACCAAGGTTACTAATATGATTTGTGACAATGGAACAACTTTTGAGTTTGAATATCAGTTCATTGAGAGCTGCTCATGCCTGGGTTGCCTTCATGATGAGTTCTAGAAATTTGTTTATTTTTGTATGTTCTTATAACTAAATTGTGAAATTGTGATGAATATGTTGATTAAGTGGCAGGTATTATTTAATCCTATATTTACAAATGATAAATTGTAAGATGCAATAATATTTCAAACTTTTAATTATTTCTTTATCATATTATTCTTTATTGTGCAGAGCACTTTGTTAGGATAACATTCATACAGTACTTTTGATTTATTTACATTTTAATAGTTTTTTGCAGAAATATGTACTTTCAAATTTTTAAGATTTATGCTTAAAGTATTTAGTTTGTCTGGAAATACAAACATAAAAGTTTTTTCATAATCCTAGTTAGATAAAGTACAGTTAAGCTGCCGTGGATTGATAATATTTTATTGCTTGTACATATTTTGAACTATGCTGCTCAGTGATTTTGTAACATTGTAACTTAATGAAAACTTTTCTTGATGGGAACTTTTCTTGCCAGTAACTTTTCTAGCAGTTGGAGGGTCTTGTTTTCAAATGTACCCAAGTATGAGACTATGTATATATGGGAAAAAGTCATTTACATGGACATACGAGGAATCTAGATACAGTTTTATCCATGGTTGTAAGTTTAATTTGATATTGTGTAAAGACTGGTCATTCACATGCAAATTTATAGTAATTTGCATATCATTTATGTATTTGAAACTAATGTACTAGTTAACCAATTAGCTCTGTTTCATACACAACCATCATGTCCTCACTCCTTTTTGAAGAGAACACATCGGTGTTTGACACAACAATCCTCTATATAAAATTAAATGTCCTAAATGTCGTCTTGTTCATCTATTTGCTCATTTAGAATACAGGTTAAAAAAAATTGCATCTCTTCTTTAAAAAATTATATTGCAAACAATTCTAGTGGAATATTATACACCAGTAACCACTTAACCACTGTATGAATTCTTGTAATCATAGCTACACAGATATTTTATATGGATTAAAAGATTTAAATATATTATAAAATTTCAATTCATTGAAGTTATGTACATGTTTATAGACTTTAATATTTTAAAATTCATAATGCCAGTTAGGAAACCCTTGGAATGACATTTGGTGGGTTAGTACAATTGAACTAATCATGATCAATTCACAGAATGGAGGATGATACTACTACCAATATCCTATCTGTGAACTGACAGATAATCTAGGTACCTCTTTCTTAAACATGTCTGGAATAATAGTTTTCTCTCATGTTGTACTGACAATTTCTCAACTTCAAGTATGAAATCACTGCAACATGCTTTGAGATGAATTGGTTGGCCAGTGATAAAATTGTCAAAAACTCTAGTAATAAATAATTCAATTGTTTATAATGTCACTAGCCGACTACTTACGCTATTTGGATATAGGGGCATCATCATTACTTAATCAGTTTTTCTTTTTTTTCTGAGCAGACTAGCATGAGGACTTAGACTTAAAATTCTAGTCTTCTATCATGTACTTTTAGTAGTGCACCCTGAAGTCTCCAGTTTTGTGTTTTATTCTGTGACAAATTATGATGAAAGCATTTGCTTCTTGTGTGTGCTTTTCAAGATGGCTGCCATCCCTGATTTTGAGGCCGGGGGACCTGGGCAAGAAATATCATAAGCTAAAAAACATCTTTGAAATACAATGTACATTGTGCTCTGGAGATTTACACAAGGTGTGTCACTACTATATTTATGATTGCTTGTTTTTTCATGCTGTGCTATTTGCAATGATTCGGATTCCTAGATGGTTGGCAATGATCGTGCACCTTGCATGTATTTCATTGCCAGTGTAGTTTCAAAAGTTTATTGGATTCTGATTTGGACTGCTCTGATTTGTCTTGCGGCTCTGGATATGAAGAATGCATATACCTACCAGTCATTAGGGTTTATAGTCAGCAAAGACAAATCTCAGTAGTACAGTAATAATAATTATAGTAGTACCAATAAGCCATTCTCCAAATATCAGTAGTCAGGACAAATCTACTGACAAAATCGATGGACGCGGAACATCACAAACCCCCACAAGGGAGTCAGACCAAGTGCATGTGAAGGGTAAGCATCTTATGCTGGCATGCCATACCCGCTGTGATGTTCCAAAGTCATGTCAGGGAAAAATGTCAAATCAGGTTTACTGATAATTTAATGTTTGACATACCTAGAGATGGAAATAGACATGTGTGCCTATCTTCGGATCCTGGACAAGCACTGTGACAAAATCAGGTAGAAACTTGCAACATAGTAGCCGACACACTGTCTTGGATCGGGTTTGATGGCACAGAGTAGCAGATGTCATCACAGATCGCCATGCCCATGATCTATTGACTACATCAATTAGCCACCAGTTTCTGAGACAGTGCACACTCCATGCCATCTAAGAACTTAGATATGACAATGAAACAACTGTCAACACTCAGAAAGTTTCTTTGTAACAATTAACACATCAATGACACTGATATAGCGCCATTCTAATCAATTCAGTCATTGACCGACCATAAGCCACTAGTGCCATTGATAGATTGGTTGTTGGGGGACGTCAGCAAAATTTGCCATTCAAAATGCACGAAATAGCGTTTCTGAATGTCTAGATTTAAATTTTTTAAGGGGGGAACATGCCCCCGGACCTCCGAGGAAAGATCGCGCCTCCTCTGCATAGAAAGGTCTATAGAAGATGTATAATTATTTGTTGATTTAGTTGAGAGAAATGTGGCCTTGTGTATCGAAAAACAAAAACAAACTAAAATTATTTTGAGATATACAAATGACGTTTTGCACAATGAAGATATTCTAAACCAAATTGAACCATTCTGTAGCTTACGAGGTCAGAGATAGACAATAATCTACCGGGATAGAATGTCTACAATGATGGGAAATAAAGAAATAGCTATATGACACGATGGTTACCTACAGAATGCTATGAAAGAGCAAAGCAATATGAAAGAGTTCATATATCACCATTCAAATTGAGCCAAATTAATCATTTATCGCAGTCACTTGAAACTACACTCTACCAGGTAATGGCAAATGATTTATATAGATCTATTCAGTTTCAAATATCCAGAATACATTGTTGTGATGCGTATTACTCATATTAATAAGGACATTTAAGAATATCTATAATGAATATCTATATCATAATGAGGACGTTTTAGATTTAATTTACCGAAGATGAATTCAGTAACCCATTCCCCGTTCTTGCTATTCATTACACGTATAGATGTTCTGATTGTGGATATTTTTGTGATTTCATTTTGTAGTGATTGTTATGTGTGTTCATATGTTCTTGTGCCTTTACGTTTAAACATTGCTGTTAGTAGTTTTGGTGTGTGATGTAGACGTTTTTCATATCATTCAAGACACCGAATGCCATTATATTTAATGTAGATAAATATTGTTCATTTACAACAATATGATTGCGCCAAATTGCGCTCCTTGTGTTAAGCTGTTTCTATGTGCGCAAACTTTCCTAATGCATATTCATTCACAATATGAGAAATAAATGTAATAAATAGTATTCGCATTTGCTCTGCAAATATTGTGTTCGAGGGCTCTGACGTTTTGTAAAATGGAAAACAAATTATTAGTATAGCTCAGGCAAATGTCCATGCAGTATACAGAATACATCACAACCCCTAATTTTAAAAGCATTTCGCTCATAAATTAACAAGTTCTTATAATTTTTGCTGTAATAACTCAATGTCATTTATTAGTTACAAGGCAATGTTAACCATTTATAATTTGAGTGAATTTCGGGAAATTTCAACGAGCGTAAAACACATAGAACACAGAATCAATTAAGCTTATTATGAAATTGATTCATTGGTTGATTTTATTCAGCTGTCATTGAAATTTATAAATATTTATAACAACCAATCCAATCTCTTCATTTTTTATAAATATTTATAAATTTCACAATTCAAAATGCCAATAGAATAATATTGGGATTGGGTATTAAATTATTTGTTAAAATATTTGCCTTGTTTTATTGTGTGAAATTTACAGTGAAGAGAACATAGCTGGGGCTTTGCTTATTTGCAAAAATTTGTAAATATCGATCAACAACTTTCATTCAAATTCAATTGGTTCATGAGTGAAACATCGTTCCTTGCTGATCTTGCTAACTATGACGTCACAATGCCATTTTCGGATTACATCAACTTTGCTTCATAAAAATGTAAATATATATAACCTGTATAACGACACCAGCTTTCTGCTCTTCGCTGTCTTATGATCTGGGCTGAGAATTATTTACTCCACATAATGGCTAAAGCGGGGCTTGCAATCTTGAGTTGGGCTTTGAAAATGAGGCTGTGAACTCGAGCTGAATACAAATCTGAATCTGCGGCTTTCTGTAGGAGGCGCCAGCCGTCTAAAAATACCTTGAAGTAAACTGGGTAACGCTTTCCATGCTGAGATACAAAAGCCCCAAAACTCCAATTGAACATAAATGCAACTTTCTAACGGATGAAATTCACTTCCTAACCTCTTGTGTCATTCATTTACAGAGAAGAAAGAGAGAAACAATAAACTTCCTGACTTTAATAGTATCGTATCATTATTATGCTCTTACCACTCGACCCGACACTATCGACCTCCTCCGAGCGACCATCTAAGCCAATACAACAAATATTAATACTTAGTCTATAATTATAATAATTTTATTAACACTTACACATTCCCCGGAGGGATTGGCAATGGTTACAAATGTTTAAGAAAGAATAAAAGGTTAAAAAAAATAGAAAAATTAAAAAAAAAACTAAGCTAATACATTACAGAGAAAAAAAATAAGATGAAATTATTATACTATTGTAACGTGCAGATAGACACACACAGAGACACGCATGTATGTCATTCACTGCGTTCTTTTATTCCAAGTTCATACTATGGTTAAGATAACATAAAACAAAAACAAAACAAAACAAAAAAAGAAACCTGTGTAGACAAAATATGTAAAAACATTAATAAGTACATTTGACTCAATGAAGTGTCAATATTATACAATTAGTTATTGCAATAAATTTCGATAGGCTGTCTAGCTCAGGGACTACATGTACATTTTGATATCAGGGAGATATAAATACATATTTGTCAGAAAAACAGAAAGTTTATGCTGCTGGCAAACATGATAAATAAAAATATATTCATCTAAGAAATATAACGGCAATAAATCTCAGAAATACATTATATAGAAATATACATAATAGCTCACCCTGACTAGAACAACTCTAAATTGAGTGAAATACAATGCTCTCCTCAGCTTCAGGTCGCCATTCACACAGCTCGAGCTCTATATGTCAAATACATGCAATTGTACACATTTTAGAAGATTATAAAGAAAAATGTGCTTGACTGACAATAAACTCATAAAAATTAGGCATAGAATATATATCAAGAACTTTAGCAATGATATCCGAAGGGGATGTGACATTTTATATAAAGCAGAAGTACAATTCAAAAATGTCATAGACGATATGCATTGTCATAGACGATATGCATAAAGTT